GTATTCCTTCCATCTTCTTTTGATGCTTTTTGCATCATTCAATATTTTGCCATAGAATCCTTCAATATTGCAAGTCTGGGCTTGAATTTGTCTCTCAACTTGAGAAATGCTGAGCATATTCTTCTCTTTTCACATTTTGTCTTCTTTTCACATTTGACTGTCTTCTCAAGCATCCCTTAGAAATTTTCTGTTCATTTTTTTTACTTCCTTATTTCTTCCATTTGCTTTAGCATCTCTACATTGGAAAGCAAATTTCAGACATCCATTTTGGTCTTTTAATTCTTTCTTGTCTTCTTAATGACCGTTTGCTTTCTTCCTGTATAATGTTCTTGTTGTCACACCGCAACTCTTCTGGTCTTTGGTCATTAGTGTCTAATTTATTAAATCTTTTCTTGAGATAGCTATAAATTCAGTTGGGATGTGTTTAATGGCCTATTTTGGTTCTCGTGGACTTGTTCTCGTTTTCTTCAGTTTCAGCCTGAACTTGCATCTGAGCAATTGATGTCCTGTTCCACAGTCTGCCCCTGGCCTTGCTTTATTTGATAATATGGAGCCTATCTACCATCTCTTTCTACAGATGTAGTCAACTTGATTTTTGTGTATTCCATCTAGTGAGGTCCAGATGGAATACACAAAAATGGAATACATAAAATACTTTTTAAAAAAAGGTATTTGTAATGAGCAAGTCATTGGTCTTGCAAAATTCTATCAAGCAATCTCTAGCATAATTTCTATCACCAAAGTCATATTTTCCAACTACTGTTCCTTCCTCTTTGTTTCTAACCTTTGCATTCCAATCACCAGTAATTATTAATCTTGATTTCATGTTTGATCAATTTCTAGCTGAAAAAGTTGGTAGAATTCTTCAATGTCATCATCACTGGCTTTAGTGGTTGGTGAGTACATTTGAATAATAGTTGTATTAACCGGTCTCCCTTGTAGGCATATGGACACTATCCTATCACAGACAGTGTTGTACTTCAAGATAGATCTTGAAATGTTCTTTTTCAGGATGAATGTGACACCATTCCACTTCAATTTGTCATTCCTGGCATAGTAAACCATGTGATTGTCAGGTTCAAAATGACCAATACTAGTCCATTTCAGCTCATTAATGCCTAGGATATTGATATTTATGCATTTCATTTCATTTTTGACAACTTCCAGTTTTCCTACATTCATGCTTCATACATTTCATGTTCTGATTATTAATGGATGTTTAAAGCTGTTTCTTTTCATTTTGCCCCATCAGCAAACACAGGTCCCAAAAATTGTACTCCATTTACATCACTTTTATTCTCCAGGAGATCCAAGGACAGTTTCAGCTTCCATATTCTTACCTAGCTTCATTCTTCCTCCACCTCCTCTTTTCCATCTCCCTTACTTGAACGCTCTGACTGCACTTAGCTTGGAAGCCTCACACTCACCTTGCACTGGGTGGGCCATGAGCACAAAGTTAATTTGATGTTGCCCGTCAGTGGTGACAGCCTATGTGTTCTTAAGGACTACCTTGAAGCAGTTGGACCCATGCAATGGGCAATGGCCTAAATCGCTGAGCTTGGTGGAGGAATAGGTCCCCCCATGAATTATTTTTCTGACAATCCAGGTAGAAACCATTTATTGACTCAGAACATCTCCACCCTTCTTCCCCAGAATGGAAGACTGCATGCATGCTCCTTAAAGGGCAGTCTCTTCCTACAAGCGGGAAGGCAGGTAGGGCAGAAGTGAGTATAAGAGCTAGTGTAGAGATCAACTTCTTAAAAGGAATGTTCTCCTAGAAGTTGTGATTCATTGCCAGAGTGCGTACAAAATTATTTGATGTAGTACAGCTGTCTTTTCAGTCTCCTGGTCAGGCTTCCTCACACCTCTCTTCACTTGGTGGACATGGATAATCTTCAGTTTTAAAAAGTCTCACATTTGTAAGAGAATCCATTCCAGACTTCTTCTGACCCTCTAGGAAATGTATTTTGACCATCTCCAGAACATTCCTCCATTTTCTGTGTCTAGAGCTTCACAACGTGCTTCATCTCTTCCTTTGGACTAAAACATGAAGAAAGTATTCCGTCCTTGAAGACAATTTCACACGTAGTCACATTCTTGTTTCCTATACCCTTAGAAAAGTTCAGAAAATCAGCATCTGCATTACTACTATTTAGCGTTGTGATCTCCTAGAGCAAGTAGAAGATTGGGCACCTTTTTTTCAAAAATGAAATTGAAGCAAGAAGCCAAGTTCATCTATCAAAGTCATATAACATGGTGGTATGAGATTGTGTGACACACTGGGATCATGTGACTTTGGAATGGGGAACAAAGAACAGGAGGCTCAACATTTCAGGCAAACAACCAATCCAGGAATTAGAGTTGCTAGTGTTTCCTGTTTATTTAACTTATTCAGGCTAATTATCATTTCTTGTTCTCAAATTTAGAAGCTGTTTGTCTAGCACAAATTTAGAAATCCAGAAACAACCCACCAAATATATGCCTCCAGTACAACCTGGGGGTTCATTAGATTAATTAATTAATAGTGGTTAATAAACACTCTGAAATTCTCTTATTAAAGGCCCACCTAAGCTCAAACTACTATTATAATGAGTCCTAATGAGGTCAATGATTTAAAGAGATGGTTTTAAACCATATATAAAGCACCTCAATGATCAGTGGTTCAGGATAAGGTTAGACGAGATAGGTGAGTCTACATGCTGATGCTTAAAAGCTTCTTCCACAGTGTACAGCCATATGGAGGTGGACTCAGATTGAAGCCAGCTGGACTGACTAAAGGATTTTCAAATTGTTAAACCTATGTTATAGGACAAAGGCCACTGCTTTGTAAAAGCCTGGCGTGCAGGTTGCTACTGAGCACAGAAGATCTTCTCAAGCAGACAGGGGAAGTTTTCTCTCTGAAACCAGGTTAGTGTTGATTTTCTTGTATCGTGTAAAATAGATAATCTGTTGTTCGAATGAGACTAAGGAAATATAAATTGAGAAAGTCAATCTATGCTAGTGATGCTCAAGATTTCTCTTGATTTTCAAAGGGAGGGTGTAGTAAGTATTGCAACAAAATTATGATATGACCAAGCCTGGAGATAGGATGGGTGTGTGTGTGGTAAGGTATGTAAGATGTGTATGGGCTCATGGCAATCTGAATTTACATTGAAATGAATCAGGAGTTTGCGTTTCAGAAAGAGTGATCCAGCAGACCATAACAGATCATAATATTTGAGGATCAAATTGGAAGTAACTTTTAGCTTCTTATTAAATCAAAGCAACTTTCCTTTAAGAAACTTTAAAGTTTGAAAATTAACCAGTTCCTATTTCAAATCATAACAGGTTCTGTAGGATAAGATTTGCCACCATGCTATCCTCTGCCGTGTTTTTGGGACTCATTGTCCTCATTGGTAAGTTACTGATTGACATTTACCATTTCTTATCAGAGTGGCCAAGAAAACACTGAGCACAATCTGGGGTCAGAAAGTATAATGTTTACATATAAGGAAAGAATGGGTTCTCCTTCTGACCAGCCTACCCAGTAACCAATGATGTATTTCTATCATTAAAAGTATCGTCTGCTTGGAAAGCAGATGAAGGTGATATCAATGGGAATTTAAAATAATCTAATACTTACTGATATACTTTCTGTCCAGTAATATACCAACTAGGCTTCTTGTCTTATCAAGAGGTGTATGGAACAGTGCTCTGGAAGAAGACAAGACATATGACACTATCAGTGCCAGGCAATAAATAATTCAATGAACGGTAGAAAAAAAATTCTAGTCTGAGAGGAGTTGCAAAGGAAGAGCTCATATCCATCCAATGGAAAACTTTTGAAACTATTGAAGAGTGACTAGTAATAAGAGAAGGGGAAAAAAACCCTTTTAGATGGAGGGATGACTTTAGTAAAGGCACAGAAGCAGAAATGCAAGAAAAGTGCTTGGGGACACAGATGAATGTAGTAGGAAGAGAAGAGGGGATTTGTGAGAAGAAGCCTGGAGAAGTAGGTTGGGGCAATGATGGAAGACCTTGAATAAGCAAAGATTGGAGACTTCAGTCCAAGAAAAAGGAAGCATCAGTGGAACCAATGGCCACATTGTCTGCTTATCAGTAGAGTCATGATTGAGAAGACAGTTTTCTAAAATTTCAATTCTAAATTTGGAAAAGTGAGGCTACCCTGGTGATAATTTCCAGTTACCTTTAGTCCAAGGCAAGGGAGAGATAGTTTTGAATTTTTACTTCTCTTTAATTGTCAGGTGGGAGCAGAGTTCTATAGCCAGTAGACCAATTACAGGCTACCATACTAGTTGTGTTTAGCTGAAAAAGGACTATAATTAAAAAATATAATTGCATTTATGATACTAACACAAGTGATATAGGGACCTCGGCCACATCCCAATACTCTTAAGGTGAAGGCTGTCAAATAAGATGGGGCTGCTGGCTGAAGCACATATTTTTGGACTTTATACCTAAATATTCTAGTTCAATAGATCAGTGTAGGGTTTCCAAGGAGCAGCTGGTGGCTTTGAACCATTGACCTTGTGGTTCACAGTCCAATGCTGATCCTACAGCTCCACACCAGAAGTCCTGTAAAAAGTACCTAAGTCTGTAAATATATGCAGGAGCAGAAAGTGTTATCTTCTCGTGGGAGCAGCTGGTGGATTTAAACCACTGACCTTGTGGTTAGCAGTCCAGTGTTTATCCTACGTAGCCACAGCACCCTATTAACTTGATACAGAGTTAGGGTTATTTGTTGGGGGTTTTTTTAGGATTCTTTGTTACTCTTATTTAATGTCTAAAAACATTGTAAGCATTTATCAGGGTCCGGAATTTGAAACTAGGTACATTTAGAGAAGGTTAGCCTCTATCTTTGTTCCCTCTACCCTTTTCTGACCCTCCCTCCAACTAACATTTTTTTATTAATGTTTGGCTTATCCTTGTGTTTCTTTTAAAAATATAGGCAAATTCCATTTGCACTCACAAATATATCTTCTTTTCTCCCCTATCTTGCACAGAAGTATAAGTCTATAAATACTGTTCTAGACCCAGAGATCATTTAATAGTTGTTGTTGTTGTAGAGTCGGTTCTGACTCATAGAAACCCTATAAAAAAATGTTTTCGTGCTGTAAATCTTTACAGGAGCAGAAAGTCTCATCTTTCTCCCTAGGAGCGGCTGGTGGATTCGAACTGTTAACTTTGTGGTTAGCAGCCTAACATTTAACACACTATACCACCAGGGCTCTGTTTCATAGGAGTGTATGGAGATATTTCTCTTTCCTTTCTACAGCTGCATAGTATTCAGTTGTGAGGATGTAGGTTCAATCAATTCCCATGTTAATAACATGTGTGTTGTTTCCAGTCCTTGCTGTTAAAAACGGTGCTGAAACAGTTTATTCTGAAATGCCCTGGCATAGCAAGCTCTCCCATTGAGTATGTTGTCCAACTTTTGTATTTTTTTGCTAACTGACTAGGTGAAAATGATATCTCAATGTCGTTTTAATATGTATGGCCTGCTCTCCTTTTGAGTGTAGTTGAATATCTTTCTATATCTCTAAGGACTGTTTTTACTTTATGTCTATGAACTGTCTTATTCATATATTTTGATACAAAGTAATATTTAAATGAAGTCCTGAAGGTGGAAAATCATGTAGCCATCTGGGAAAATAGCATTCTAGGTGAAGAGAACTTCAAAAGCAAAGGCATTGAGGCAGGAGCCTGCTTGGCACATTCAGGGATAGGCAAAAAGAAGAATGTGGCTGGAGAAGAGCTAGGGAAGAAAAAACTACATTGGAGAAGGAACAGAGGGCCAAATAGAGGAGGAGCCTGAAGACCATACTGTGGATTTGGTTTTCCTCTGAATGAGGGGAACCCCATTAGAAGATGAAGAGGGAAGACTGGTTTTACCCATGCCTATTTTTACTCTGCTGCTGGGTGGAGAACAGATTGTAAGAATGGGAACAGGGAGGCAGGCCAGTTGTAAACTGTTAAAATAATCTAGATGAGCATGGATTATTGAACATGTTAACAATAATCCAAATTATTATACAATAATCAGGATGCTGGTTTGGACCATCATGGTGAGATGTGATCAGATTATAGATCCATATTTTCAGTTTTCATATTTCTTCCACCACCCAGTGTCAATTTTAGGAATCCATCTATTCACATGCTCATGTCTATTTCCTAAGCAGATTGCAGGCACAAAATACTATACTGAGGGCCACGAGGAAAACCAACGTGGTAGTTCCTGCTTTCAGTATGGCATGGGAACCCATTTTTATTAAAGAAATCCAATTATATCTGAACTCCTGGTGTGGTGCTGTAGGATCAACACTGTACTGTGAACCATAAGGTCAGCAGTTCAAACTTACCTCCTCTGAAACCTATGAGTCGGAATTGACTTGATAGTGCTTAACGACAGCAACAATTCTATCTGCTGCTTTTATTATCTACACAGGCTTCCTTAGGATCCCATGTTTATGTGATATTTTGTTGGTCCATTCACAATTCTTTTTTATCAGATTGTGCATATATTTTTGTTTTATTGGTTATTACATTTTTTTAAAATCGTATCTTTTAAAAAAGTTAACCTTTAGAGTTACTTTGTTTTACTTATAATATAAATATTTATAAGGAACCATTCCTTAGATTAGATGCCTAATTCTAAGAGTATACAGTTGTTTTATGTTGGTAAGTTAGAACATGTAAATAGTCAAGTGGGTAGGTAAAATCCATCTCTTCATTAAAAAACATAGTTTACAACATTCAACTGAACATAGTTTTGCACAACAAATTTTCAGTAACTACATTTTCTTGTAACAAATGGGGGCTTTGAAAACTTCATAGAAAAAATCCATTATCTTTGAATTCCATCTTTCTATGAACTTTTTGAAGCCCCTTCGTATTTATCATCTGAAGGTACAAGCCAACAATCCTTGGAACTATTAGAACAAACTTCAAAATTACAGAAAAGTTCTTGTCTCCTTTACTCAATAGACTAGGGCAGAAACTCATTTCATAATGACAAGATGAAAAATATCAATGGACTTCACTCAAATTTTTATGTTTATTTTTTTAATCTTAATAGATTTAGAGACTCAACTTCACAGTAGCATGATATATAAAATACGTTGTTGTCGTTGTTAAGTGCCATCGAGTCGGTCTAACCTATAATGACCCTTTATAGGGTTTCCAAGGAGTGGCTGGTGGGTGAACTTGAACCACCGGCACTGCAGTTCAAACGACCTTGCAGTCTAGCGCATTAACCCACAGCGCTACACCAGTTAACTTAAATTGTTGCTGTTGTTAAGTGTTGCTGAGATAGTTCCAACTCATAGCCACCATGTGTAGTGTTTCTGAGGAGTAGCTGGCGGGTTTGAACCGCCGACCTAACGTTTCAAACCAACCTTGCAGTCCAGCACATTATCCTGCAGTGCCACATGGCATTCTTTTTTCATCTTTCACATCAGCTGTTTTGTTTACATCTATGTCACAAATGTCTTAAAATTTCTCTCAAATTTCCTGTTAAAACTTGTGGCAATATTTTACTCTGATCAAAGATATTTGAAGCCTATAAAATTATTTTCATAATGCTTTGCACAGTGTGTTACAATTAAGTGCTTTTGTTTGTTTTGTGTTCATATGTTCAAAGGTGGCAGTAGGGTGGCAAGGGGGAATCTTCTGCTCTATTTGGTCTGATGAGCCAAGACTGGCAAAAAGAGACTTGGGGGAGGACCCAGTTTATGGTCTTTGTTTCTGGTTTGACAACGTATGTAATAATGATTGAAGCAATATTTCCTCATGGGCTTCATGCAAATAACCATTCTGCCTGCAGGTACTTCCAGGGGCTTGCACCCTTTTACCCACATGATGAACCCTCACCTGCATCCTCGTCTGTACCACGGGTGCTATGGGGACATCATGACCATGGACACCACTGGGGCTTCCTGTGATATAGACAGGTTGATTAATTGTGGTAAGTGAAAATTGAGGCAAAGGCTCGGCTTTGCCCTTTCATCCTTTTCAGCTTCCCTCTCAAGAAATAACTCATTTTTTTAAGGCATAATTATTATAATAATGATATCAAAATTAAACATTAGGAAAAAAATAAAAGAATCTTGACCAACATAAAAAAGTACTTCTTTGAAGTTTGTCCCACTTTTTCTAATCCTTGTCCAGGACTACCTATCTCTATGTATTCCAGTTATTGATTAGATAACATATAATATGTTGGTTTTATTTTGTAGTTGTTGTTGTTTTTATTTAATGTTATATCATGAACATTTTAATGGAGCTTAGAACTTTCTCTTTGTGTTTTTTTTTTTTTTTTTCTTTTTTGTAATCCTGTTCCAAAGTCATTATGATGTTATCACTGTTATATTGTCAGAGCTGGAAGACTACGAAGGCCATATCTAATTCCATACCCTCAATTTACAGATCAGAGACTCCCCAAGGGCACAGAGCTACATAGTGTCAAAGCCAGACTAAACCTTAGATTGATTGACATGCAGGCCAAGAGTTTCCCAGTGCACCAATGTGGCAGAAAAGAAATGAAGGAGAGAGGGAGAGAGAGAGAGAGAGAGATTGAGAAATGGCGCCCTTCTGAGGTTGCGGACCTACCTGGGTTTCTGTGTTCAGAGATCAAATGAATGTCTTAAATTGATTGTCCCAACTCACGGGCAGTGGGTCAGGGGCTGTGGTTAACCTATATTTTAGTAAAAGATGATCTTCTGGTGTAGAGGAAACACCGTTTTGTTTTGTGTTTGTTGACTTCAGGGATCCATGGTTCCGAAATGTTTGCTGCGATGGATTTGAGGGCCATAAAGCCTTACCAATTTATGATCAAAGAAGTTGGACACAGGCACTGCGTGGACCCAGCCCTCATTGCTGCCATCATCTCCAGAGAGAGCCATGGTGGGACCGTTCTGGAAAATGGCTGGAATCACAATGGACATAAGTATGGCTTGATGCAGGTACTTACCTAGAGACATTAAATCAGCTGTACTTCATTTTTCTTTGCAGAAGCTCAACCTAAATTAAAAAGCCTTTTGTGGTTTTGTTGTTGCAGGTGTTAAGTGCCTTCGAGTTGGTTCTGATTCATAGTGAACTCATAGGGTTTCCAAGAAGTAGCTGGTGGGTTTGAACCACTGACCTTGTGGTTTGCAGTCCAGCGCTTATTCTAATGCACCACACCAGGACTCCTTTGCAGTGTAAGGCCCCCAAATATCATGGAGTCTGGTTATAGATGCTTCAGCATCATTTGTTTTGGGACTTCTATAGCACAATTTTGGTATGTTAGTCAATGTTTGTCAGCTATTGGATACTTCCAAAAAAATCTTTTGTGAGTCTCATAATTATAATTCTAAAACACAAATAATATGTAATGTAGTTACATTGAGAAAATATTTGATAAGATACTGTTATTATAGGGATCCTCCTGGGATTCATGAAATGGTTAATGTCATTCATGTAGATCAGAACACTGTACAATTAAGTTCTGTTTGAACCAACTTTCTTCTTTAGGCAAATGGAAGAAGGGCATGATCTGGATACTTGCATCCAGACTCTATTTTAAATAGCCTGTTGTTGCTGTTTGGTGTGCTATCGATTCAATTCCAACTCATAACAATCCTGTATAGTGTTTTGGAGGCGTGGATGGTGAGTTTGAATCAATGACCAAGACTCCTTAAATCGTCTGTAGATACCCAGATATCTAGCTTTCTCAGTTTGAAACAAATTTTTCCCTGAATTGGTTGATAATTATTTTTGTCTGCAAATGCCTGAACAACAACAACTTTTTCACACATACATTGTTGTTGGGTGCTCCAACACCTGGCGATGTCATGTGACAGAGTAGAACTTCCCCAGAGGATTTTCTTGGCGGCCATCTTTATAGAGCTCTAGATCTCCTACAAAACAGCTGCAGTTAGTGGCCAAGCACCTAACCCTTGTGTCATCAGGGCTCCTGGATCTTTCTTCTTTCTTTCTTTTTTTTAATAGAGAAAGCAAAGTTTAATAGTGATTACCAGAGACGTGGTAAAGAGGGAGTTACTGCTTATGGAGCATTAAGTTTTGGTTTATGTTGTTGTTTTTAGGTGCCATCAAGTCAATTCCAACTCACAACTCATGTACACACAACAGAAATATTGCTGGGTCATACACCATCTTCATTGTTTTGTGTGAATCCATTGTTGCACTACTGTATCAGCCCATTTCATTAAGAGTCTTTCTCATTTTAGCTGACCCTCTATTTTACCAAGCCTGAGGCCCTTTGCCGGGATAGGTCCCTCCTGATAGGTCCAAAGTACATAAGATGAAGCCATCCTTGCTTCTAAGGAACATTCTAGCTGTACTTTTTCTAAGACAGATTTGCTCATTCTCTGGCTATCTATAATATACAAAGGGGAAAAGTTCTTGGAAAAATTCCATTATCTTTACATTTCAGCTTTCCACAAACTTTCTGAAGCAACTTCATATACAATATTCTTCGCTATCACCATAAGTTAAAGGCATCCATTCTTATGAATTTATTATTCATTGTCCGCCTTTTGCACGCATATGAGAAGATTGGAAATACCATGACTTGGGTCAGTGTCTTTGTTATCTAGCTCTACCATAATAGAAATATCACAAGTGGATGACTTTAACAAACAGAAATTTATTATTTTATAGTTTAGGTCTCTAGAACTCCAAATTCAGAGTGTTGGCTCTAGGATAAGCTTTTCTCTCTTTGTTGACTTAGGGGATGGGACCTTGTATCCTTTTAGCATGTGTAGACTGCTGAGTCCTTCTTAATATTCATAGATAACTCCAGACTGCTAACCACAAGGTTAATGGTTCAAGCCCACCAGGCATTCTTCAGAAATCTTATACAGGATTGCTATGCACCAGAACCCTGTATATGGCTTCTGAGGCTGTAAATCTTGGCAGCAGCAAAAAGTAACACCCTTCTTCTGTGGGGTACCTGGTGGGATGGAACAGCCCACCTTCCGGTTTGAAGTCCAGCACTTATCCTACATAGCCACCACGCGCCCCGTATGCAAATTCCATTTTCCCACAAACTTTTTGAAGCTCATATATAATATATATTTATTAGAATGCTTAACTAAAACTGTGCTATCCCTATTTCTCCAAACCCTTAGTTTTGTGTTGCGTCATCCAGATGCTGACATTACTATTTGAATATTCTAGCTTGATAAGAAAATCCATCGCCCTGTTGGTGACTGGGACAGCAAAGAACACCTTTCTCAGGCTGTTGGGATTCTAGCAGATGGAATTAAGGATGTCCAGAAAAAATTCCCCAAGTGGAGTGTGGATCAGCACCTCAAAGGTAGGTCATATTTTGAATGCTTTGTTAAAATAAGCAATGAGTGAGACCCTGAAGGCAGATATGTCCTGAAGCTCTGTAAGGTTGCTTCCACTGGGTATACAGTAGGTCTGGGAAGAGTTGAAAGCCTGCAGTAGAGGTCTCTGAATAACTGAGTTACTTTGAGTGGTCTTCCTTCCCTGTTTTCTATTTCTGCTTCTACAATATGCTGAAGTTCTTATTGTACATCTCCTTGGTTGCACAACAATCGAGTAATGCCTTAAGAGCTAATGAGATCATTTAAAAGAATATGTTTTACCTTCCTCTAATAGGCTTTTTCTGATACAAGGAACTGTTAAACCACTTTCTGGACTGTATGAACAAATTTTAACCCTGCAAGTACTCTCGATGTGATTGGGAGTTCAGGGGCCATGATATGTCCACATAGAGATCTTTCCCTGGCTGGTTGCTGACCCCCTCAACTTTAGCATCTCCCAAACCAAATTAACTCACTAACATTCTGCTGCAAATTCTTCATTTTCACTTTCTGTGTTGTGAAAGGCATCCTAATATACCCAGTCATCCCAGCCAGAGAAACAGATAATTTTCTTTGACTTTTCTGACTCCTTCCCTCTTTTCCTGCTAATTATTAACTGCTATTAATATTAACTCAATTCCTATTAAGTCTACTTGCTGTGGGATCATGGTATATATGACCTTCTCTCCTTCCACACTTTATGGACCTTCATTTAGAGTCATTTTATTTTCTATTTCAAGGTCTTTGATGGCAGAGATTAAGAACAAGAGTCTTTTCTTTAGACATGAAAGCAGAGCACAATTATATGTTTAACAAATAACTTAACAAAGGAATGTATCCAATATCTTGGGTAACACTATGTATATCATACTCAATGTGGTTCCAACCCTGGAATATGGTAGGTATTTAAAAAACATTGATTGATTGATTGATTGAATGAATGAGTAAAAGAACAAGTCAATGAAACATTAAATAAATAGTGGTTGTTATTGTTTAGTGTCGTGGAGTCAGTTCCAACTCATAACAACCCTGTATAGGGTTTCCAAGGAGCAGCTAGTGGATTGGAACTGCCAACATTGTGGTTATAAGCCCAGTGCTGATCCTATAGTGTCACACCAGGACTCAAAATGTTGCAAACATTCTCAGACTGAAAATTTGCTGGAAATCTTGTTGTGCCCAGTATGGACTAGAAAAGAAGCGAATCTGATTTTTGCGAAAAGAAATATACAGTCTTAAAAGAAGAAATTCTCCCATTGATACGTGGGATAGCATATCCTCAAGGGTGGAGGGAGAGAAGGGGAATCAAAGTGTTGGGATGGCCTGCTTTGGAAGATCTGCCTGGAGGGCTGACATCCTGGAAATGCTCCTATCTTGTGTCTGCTGAACATTAATATTGGGACCTTAAACTGTGTTTCCTTTCAGGTGGTCTTTTGGCTTTTAAGTCAGGAATCGATACCGTTGTCACCCCTGTGGACATAGACACTGACTTCGCCAATGATCTTCTTGCCCGAGCTAAATTCTATAAAAGACATGGCTTCTAGGGAAAACTGTATGGGTGGATCAGTTTGATAGGGTGCTCAGATAGTTCCCCTTAACAGAAGTGTTTGATATGCTCAACCCAACACTGGCAAAGGGACTGCTGTAATTGTGAGAGAAAATGTAGAACCCACTATTTTTTCAAAAGAAAATCCACCTAGTTTCCCAATAGTTTCCATGAAATGTACGCAAACATACATACCATTGTTTTCTTGCAAATGTTAATATCATAGAGTGTGATGTCTATATATTCCAGTTAGACCTTATTTTAGTCAATGATTTTAATGTCAAATGGTTCCCTGCCTATGAGTCTTAAGAAGTGAGCTTTTGTCCTGTTCCCAGTATCTGACCACTTGGGTTTTGCTTGAGAAGTACTTGATTCATAAGCCAATTAACCCATGAGGCAATGGAGAAACTAGAGATGGAACTCCAGCTCCATATGTAACTGTGAGTTGATAGTGAGGAGACTGATGTTCTTCAGATTACGCACACATCCCTCAGGCCCACACCAACCTCTCATGTCTTCTTTCTCTTACTTGCTGAGACTCTAGGGGTTAGTTTCTTTTTTTATTTTCATTAGTTGCTATCAAACACCTAGGGGGTCATCTCCCCACAAACATGGCTGAAGATAGATACATATACCTTGCATTAATTATGGCTCTTTGGTTGCAAACAAGAATAACAAACTCTGGAAATTTTAAGCAAGAAAAAAAAAAAAAGTACTAAAAGGCTACCAGAAGCCCTGGTTGCATAGTGGGTTATCCACTGGGCTGCTAACCACAAGGTCAGTTGTTTGAATCCACCAACTGCTCAGAGGGAAAACAATGAGACTTTCTGCTTCTGTAAAGATTTACAGTTTCAGACACCCTATATAGGACTTGATGGCACATAGTAACAACGGAAGATTATCCAAAGGCTCATAGACCCAACAGGAAGGACAAGGACATGAACAGGAAACAGGCAACTCTGGGTGTCTGAATAGCAGAGATTGTCCCAACTACACTTTGTGGAATCCTCACTGCAAGAATCAGTATGAATTCCAAACGTGTTCCTCCTCATTCTTTTGTCACTCTGTTTCAGAGTTTTAGGCCCTGCAAAGAGAATTTGTTTGGCTTATCTTGAGTCAGATAACTGAGCCCTAAGTTCAGTTCCTTTTTAAGATGTCCAAGAAATGCTGCTACCCATTGCTTTTCTCTCAAAGAGAGAATTTTAAATCAGACCCACCAACCACTGAGCCCTCTTGGAGAAAGCCAACTAAACCATTCTTTACCCAGTGGCTTTTCAAGCCAACATAAAGATGTGGCCAGGTAGAACTAGGGTCCCTGATGGGCCCTAATGGACAGTGGGTGTGGCAGTCTTGAAACTTATGTGTCAGCATCTGTTGTGATTAAGGCCCATGTGTAGGAGTTGTTAAATATTTTAATACCATCCATGCATATGGGCAACTCAGGCCATTCTTTAGAACTCTACTTTGCTCAAGATGAATTCTTTAGGACTTTTCATCACAAACATGTATTCCATCTGACAGCCAGTTCCTGTAAAGCCAACAAAAAGGCAATAAAGTAACCTTGTTGTTGTTGTTGCTAAGTGTCATTGAGTCAGTTCCAACTCACAGCGACTCTGTATAGGGTTTCTGAGGCATGGCTGGGGAGTTTGAACCATTGACCTTGTGGTTAGCAGTCCAGTGCTTATCCTACAGCACTTCATAGGTGAAATAATTTCCATGTAATGTGAACTGCAAGAAATACAGCACTGGTTTATACCCTGCATCTGTCTCCCCAGTATTCTTTTTATGACTGGGATCCCAGGAAAGTCCATACTCAAGGGGTCTTATTCTGGTTCCCTGAGACAAAGATTCAAGTGCAGGTAGTTTATTTGATATAATATGTGACAGCAATCCAGTTAATAAATGGTACTTTACCAAGCCAGCTACCACAATGGGCATCAAGCTGAATTTTGCAGGAAAACTTTGAGAAACAATGCAAAAGATACACCTCAGGATTATTCTACCTGAAGGGCAAGGAACTAGGATATTGATACCTATCCATTCCTGAGCGCCATTGGTTGAGGACCTAGGGTAGAGTAGGAGATGTTAATTCCTTGTTGCTCCTAATCTGCCATGCAAGTAGGCTGCACACTTTTCTGCAATGCCAGGGAATGCAGGTTGTAGGCACAGAGGTACAAATACAGGCAGTTAGAAATCAGCCAAGAACCCTGTAAGGTCCGTGGGGGTGGGGGCACCATCAACATCTGCCTCACGAGAGGTTAGTTGTACCTGAAGGTTGAGAATATTCCTGCAACTTTCTTTGCCTTCCTCCTTAGTATGGTGAGAATAGTCTAGAAATAACACACAACTTTTATTATGACACATAATCTGCATTTTAAACTCTTCATACTCTATTAGAATTGCTAGTTAGTTATAATAGAACATTCTCAGCCTTCATCCTCTTTCCATCTCTAGACAGAGCTGATTATCTTGGCTTTACAAAGAGCAATGCCAAAGAGATTAGTCTCAAAGGAGGATCCATTAATCATTCTTTCAATTATCTTCTATTTTCCTTACATTTTTGCCAGTGTCTCTTCAGGGATAATTAATTGTTCTATGTTCACTGTCTACTGTTAAAATAAAATCTTTTTAAGTTGTCCAAAAACTAAGCTCTTACTGGAGGGCGAATAAAATCTGCTTTGCAAATAGTTTTCAAAGCGAAACGCAAAAAACTAAAAATATTTCTCTGACTGGATTTATTCACAGTTACATTCTCATCCTGTTTCTTGGCCACCCATACATTACAGGGCTTGAAACATCTATGCTGAGGCCATTATTAGAGGTCACAAATGTGGAAATTGAGACTTACTTTCTTTGTTTCCCCCTTAAATGCTAAAAACATGTCTGAAAAATGGATTTAAAGTAAGACCCCAGAGGAAGTTTTACAGCCTATAAGGGCATAGTACATGAGGCAGCTTGTCTAGAGGGAGAGGCTGGGCAACCTGGGGGCCATGAGGAAACAGGATAGCTGGAGGAAAGGAACAAATGAAAGACAAAGTGATTGGCTTTGCAAGGTTCCAACTGACAGTCCAATTCGGTTTCCGGCTACAAGACAACATATCAGATCTGACTTAGAGATTCAAGAATATCATTTAGTGTACCGTGAAGCTTCTATCAAATGGACAAACTCAGATATCTGCATTTCTGATCACTACCTACCATAAGGGTTTGTAGGGACAAACTGGAATTACCGAGTGTCATGGTCAGTCTGTAGTGCTACATTATCATATATGTGAAATCACATCCAGAACTCTCCTATAACCAATTTCTCAGAGAAGCAATGCACTCACTCATGTACAGTGATACAGAAGTCTACAAAACCAGGAGTGTGAACCAACTGTACGTGGGATTTGTCTTTCTGTAGCTGTTGGTTTAGCTCCCTCCATCCCAGACTTGTCTAATTCCTATTTTTC